CCCCCCGGAGGTCGCCCCGGGCCCATCGGTGCTCGCCCAGTTGCCTCCAGGCCGCTCCCAGCGCCGGGTCCAGTTTGAGGGCGTGGCCCAGCGCCTGCTCCGCCCGGGCCCCGCCCACCGAGGCCGGGGCCACGCCCAGCGCGCGCGCGCGGAGGAGCAGGGCCCGGCCACGCCCCTCGGGGGACACTGGGGAGGGGCGGGGCCACAGAAAGGGGGCGTGGTCACAAACAAGGGGTGGGGCCAAATGACAGGGGGCGGGGCCAAGGGGCCTCCCAGTCCCTCCCAGTGCCCCCCAAAGCCCTCCCAGTCCCCTCCCAGTGCCCTCCCAGTACCCCCCAGTCCCATCCCAGTCTCCACCCAGTCCCTTCCCAGTACCTCCCAGTGCCCCCCAATCCCATCCCAGTGCCCTCCCAGTACCTCCCAGTCCCATCCCAGGCCCTCCCAGTGCCCCCCAATCCCATCCCAGTCCCTCCCAGTGCCCCCCAAACCCCTCCCAGTCCCTCCCAGTGCCCCCCAGTCCCTTCCCAGTCTCTCCCAGTGCCCCCCACTCCCTCCCAGTGCCCCCCAATCCCATCCCAGTCCCTCCCAGTGCCCCCCAATCCCATCCCAGTCCCTCCCAGTGCCCACCAGTTCCTCTGCCAGTGCACCCAAAGTGTCCCCAAATCGCCTCCCAGTCCCTCCCAGTTCTCCCGAAATCCCTCCCAGTAACCCCAAAACTCCTCCCAGTCCCCACCCAGTCCCCACCCAGTCCCTCCCAGTGCCCCCCAAACCCCCCCAGTCCCTCCCAGTGCCCCTCAAACCCCTCCCAGTGCCCTCCCAGTGTCCCCAAATTACCTCCCAGTACCGCCCAGTTCCTCCCAGTCCCCAGCCAGTTCCTTTCAGTGCCCCCCAATCCCATCCCAGTACCCCCCAAACTCCTCCCAGTCCCCACCCAGTCTCCTCCCAGTCCCTTCCCATTCCCTCCCAGTTCCCTCCCAGTGCCCCCCAGTTCCTTTCCCAGTGCCCCCAAAGTGTCCCCAAATCGCTTCCCAGTCCCTCCCAGCGCCCCCCAATTCCTCCCCAGTCCCTCCCATTGCCCCCCAATCCCATCCCAGTCCCTCCCAGTGCCCCTAAGTACCTCTCCCAGTGCCCCCAAAGTGTCCCCAAATCGCCTCCCAGTCCCTCGCAGTGCCCCCCAATTCCTTCCCAGTCCCTCCCAGTGCCCCCGAAATCCCTCCCAGTCCCTCCCAGTGCCCCCCAAACCCCTCCCAGTGCCCCCCAATCCCCTCCCAATCCCCTCCCAGTCCCTCCTAATCCCTCCCAGTGCCTCCCAATTCCCTCCCAGTCCCTCCCAGTGCCCCCCAATCCCTTCCCAGTGCCCCCCAATCCCTCCCAGTGCCCTCCCAGTCCCTCCCAGTGCCCACCCTGGATCTCCTCCATCAGCTTCAGCGTCTTCTCCATCTCCGCCACCAAGGGGTCACTCTTGGGGTCACTTTTGGGGTCATTGTCGGGGTCACGGGGGGTCAGACCGTCCCGAAATCGGTACAGGTCCGTCACCAGGGCCTGTGGGGGGGGAAAATGGGTCAGAGACCCCCCAAACCCCCCAAAATCCCCCAAACCCTCCCTCAGGGGGACCCAGACCCCAAATAACCCCCAAAACCTCCCTCGGGGGGCCCAGAGCCCAAATAACCCCCAAAACCTCCCTTAGGGGGGGGCCCAGACCCCAAATACCCCCCAAAAGAGGCTCAAACCCCCTCAAATGGGGCCTCAGCCCCACAAACATTAATCCTCCCCCTAAAGAGGCTCAAACCCTCACAAAGGGGGTCTCAGATCCCCCCAAATACCCCCCAAAAGAGGCTCAAACCCCCTCAAATGGGGTCTCAGCCCCACAAACAACCCCCATTAATTCCCTAATCTCCTAAAAAGCCTCAAACCCTCACAAAGGCAGTCTCAGATCCCCCCAAATAACCCCCAAAAGAGGCTCAAACCCCCACAAATGGGGTCTCAGCCCCACAAACACCCCCCATTAATCCTAAAGAGCCTCAAAACCCCACAAAGGGGGTCTTAGCCCCACAAACACCCCTCACGAATCCCCCCCTAAAGAGGCTCCAACCCTCACAAAGGGGGGTCTCAGATCCCCCCAGAAGGAGCCCGGATACCCCTCAAATGACTCCAAATCCCCCAAAAAAGGGATCCCATAACCCCTAAAGCCCCTCAGGGGGGTTCCCCCCCCACACACACCTCCAGCCGCCTCAGCGCCGCCTCATCGCCCTCCTCCTCCCCCGCGCCCCCCTCGCCGCCCTCCTCCGCCGCCGCCGCCGCCTCCTCCTCCCCGGGCGCCGCCATGACGAGGGCGGAGGAGGAGGGAGGACCCGCCCTTTCCGCCCAACCGGTGTCTCCGCCCGGCCCTGCCCCCGGTTACCGCCCGTCCGCTCCGTCACCGGCGCCTCCGGTTCGCTGAGGGGGGACACACCCAAAATGGCGGCGCCGCCTCTTCCCCTCAGAGCCCTTCACAAAATGGCGGCCTCCTGCAGGACGCTTTCCCGCCCTTTTGAGGCCACGCCCATTCACTTCCGTTAAAAGGCAGACCACGCCCCCTTGGGCGTATTTAAGGTCAGGCCACGCCCCCCGTAGGCTTCGCCCACCGAGAACCCTCAGAAGCTTCCCCCCCCCCCAGCTGCTGGAATTGGGGCGAAACAGGAAAAAAATGGGGGAAAATACGGCAAATTTGGGTCAAAACAGGGCGAAGTGGGGTCAAAACCGGACAAATTTGGGTTAAAACAGGACAAAGTGGGGGCAAAACCGGACAAAATTGGGTGAAAATACGACAAATTTGGGTTAAAACAGGGCGAAGTGGGGG